AGACAGACATAAACAGCACTCTAAGCTCACAGCTACGCTGAGGCAGTCCATTTTTCACTTTCACTATGGCAATTATCGGGGCGGGTGGCACACATCCCCAGAAAGGCGCATCTGCCAAGCTCCGCAGAAAGGGCTGATTCAGGCCACAGCTCTCTGCGTGTCCAAGATGAAGACATCACCTCCCCCTCCTTCAAACACTTGTTTTCATTACAGCATTTCACCGTCGCCACTCGTTAAGCTCCAAGCACCCATGAGATGGGAGGTCACTGCCACAGCCCAGAGCACACAGCATTTCAGCCACGCCGAGGCCCAGGGCAGGAGGTAAAAAGGGATTTTGTGGTGCCCGAAGGAGTGGGAGCCACTCTCTGCAGAGCGATTGTAGTAACTGCGACTCTGACATTCAAGGGCATCTCTCCAGGAACGGGGAAGAACAGGCCCCCGGCCCAGTGCAGCTCGAGCGTTTGCAGATGTGGGCTGGAATCTGCGGCTCCCGCTCCTCTCCAGGACAAAGTGTAACAGGCAGCGCTGCCTTTCCTGATGACACGACGAGAACAAGGTGTGTAATAACGTTTGGCACGCTCATCTCCAGCACAGCGACAAACACTAATTAATCTTCTCAAACACACAAGCATCTGTACCAGCATCTCCTGCTGTTTCATTAACAGCCGTAGATAAACGAAGCTCTGCTGCTCTTCATTTGTCCTACAGCTGGTCTCAAGGATGCGGTAGGAAAAACATCTGGAGGTCAGCTCTTTACCGGGTGTAAATGCAAAACAAAAGTCATTATTATTAACCACTCCGAGTTCCTGTGTAAATGATCTTTAGGATGTTTCCTTTCAAAATCCTCCCTTGCGTTCAAAGGCTGGACTTGAAACACAGCAGGTTTTAGGAAGGCATCCCACCTGGATGCATAAATTTTCGGCAATGCAGAATCCACCCCATGCTGCAGTGCAACATTTCTGATTGAAAACCCTTCTTTGAACCATCTCTAGTTTATCAACACCCTCCCTGAAGTGCAGCCTGACAGCTGAACCGAGAGCTTCACAAGGACACAGCAATGGCTGAGCCCAGCCAAACCTCCACCAAGCCCACCATTGTGTCCGAGAGCAGCCAACAACAGATCCCCAGAGAAAAGTCTCAGGAAACACACGGAAGCACCCCCCACCATGTGCAGCTCACGTACTTCCTGAGCCAGTAGATTTCAGACCGTAACAAAGGGCCTTTTCCACCATGAAATCACACTGTCACCTCCCAACCCCCCACCCAACTTTCAGTACGAATTCTCACAGCTTAACCAGATGCAGAGAACCAGCTCCTTGCTTGTCCTGGCCCCTGCAGACCAGCGCCAGCTGCCACCTCCCACTTCTTGGGCAGGAGAGAGGAGGTGAACGATAAATCTCTACACACAGACCATTAATGATTTACACCCCTCGCTCATGCCCCCTCAGTCCTCTTTTCCAGATTAAAAGGCCCAACCTACTTCATCTCTCCCTGTGCAGAAGCCAGTCAACACCTCTTCTGGGGGCCAGGGTGGTGGAAGAGGGAGGACTGGCTCCTAATCACACACAATATTCAAAACAAGAATAAAATCCACAATGCATTTGCATTTTTTCAAAGCTAAACTCCCCAGCAAAAACTCCCTATCCTCTTGGCTCAATTTTAATATTTTTTTTTAAGACGCAAACCATTACATCTTGCTTCAGTATTACTACTGCTTGCAAAACACAGCCCTCCAGCTAACCAATCAAGGTCACTCTGTACCAAGGACCTGTTCTCTTCATTATTTATCATTTTCTAAATTGTTGCAACTTCTCCAGCTCTCCATCCATTAACTTGCACTTTCTTCCAGATCACAGACAAACATGTTTTTTTAAAAAGAATAAGCCCTAAAAGAGGATCCTCTGGACCCCTGCCGAGAGCTTCCCACAGCACCCCAGCCAACTCCCGCTCTGCCCTGCACCCAAGGACAGTGCAAAGACTCAGGGGACCCCCAGATAGTGTTAATTATTGGGGACTTCACAGACCGCAGCCGCTCGCATGGGGCTGGAGAAGGACAAGTGTAAAGCAGCAGCTCAAATGAGATGTCTATATAAACACCTGGCAGTGGAACAGCACAGGCTGCGCACGCCCCACCACACAGCTCCATTAGCTCAGGAGGAGAATTTCAGGAGTCACAGGGGACAGCTCTGGAGCAGCATCAGCTTAGTGTCACGTCGATAGACATCATTAACATTTATCCTGCAAGACAGGTCTATAAAAATCACTCAGATTTCACCATGGAGGAGGCAAATGAGAAACGATTATATATGCTTTTTCATCTGACAAGCAGAAGCAGACACAAGATGAAGTTATCAGGCACAGGCTTCAAACCAGAGCGAGCAACTCCTCTCTTGTTTTTCAAGCAGCAGCTGCTGGGCCCCCGCCCCAGCAGGTATCAGAGCCCCCCGCCTCTCCCGCTGCCGGCAGATCCTGCCTTTAAACAAAGCCACACACGCAACAAAGAGCTTTCCACAAAAGCATGACGGCTCTGACTGCCGTTAGAACAGAATAAATTAAGAGAATGAAATCCCAAACACTGTCTCCAGGCTGATATCAAAGAGGAGAATAGAGGAGAATGTCAGAAACAGGGCCTGGGAGGGGGATGGTCACAGCCTCAAGGAGGCACAAAACTTTCCAGTGTGGGTGGCAGATGGGAAGAGGTACCTTCAGGCCAAGCACACACAACACCCTTCCCCATGGCTGCTCAGCACCACAGGCATGGCGGGACATGCTCCTGCACAGGACCGCTGAGCTCCCATGAAGCCACCAGCACCCTGTTGGGCGGCCCTGCGAGGTGGGGGACAGCCCCCCAGCACAGGTTGGGTGGTAAAATGGACGTTTGTCCACCCAGAGCCCCAAGAGCAAGGGACGGAGAGCAGCTGCAGGCAGGCACCGGGAAAGAGCACGACTACCCTTCTCCGCAGCCCCGCCGAGCGACCCGGCCTCGGCTCCCCCCCCGCAGCCCAAGGGGGTCCTGGCTCCTGGCCCGGCTCCGCACTCCGCCGTTCGCAGCCCGGGGCTCGCCGCGACGGGGGCAGCACACGGTTCAGCCGCCCGAGGGGGAATGCCTCACCGGCTCCCTGCAGCCGCCGGACCGGGCGCGGGGGGGTGGCGAGGGCAGGGACACGGGCCCCGTCCTCCGCCTTAACCGCAGCAAGGGACGGGTCACAAAGCGTCGGCGCTTCCCGAGCCCCTGGAAGCCGCAGCGAAACGGCCGTGCCCGAGGGCGCAGGGACCGGGACCGGTCCCAGGGGCTGTCGCGGCTGGGGCGGCGCGGCCCGTCCGCACACCGGGGACCGTTACCCACCGCCGGGCTCGGGGCAGGGACCTGTCCCGGGATGGGGCACCCCGCGGCCCGGCCC